TTTATTTGAGTTAATTACTTATATACTGTCGGTGTAAAAAAAATTTATATTAACGATTAATTATATCTTTTAATTGTGTCAAGTCACTATAAACACATTTATTTTTAACAGTGACATGATACAATTAAAAAATATAATTAATTGTTAGTATAAATTTTTTTTTGCATTGACAATATATAGATAATTAAGTGTGTTTGATTTAGAGTTACGTTGAACGTGACCCAAAAGCATCACATTAATTACTTTGATATTTTTACATTGAAAAATAAAAAAGTTCGTTTAACACTAGTTAAACGATTTTCCAAACATGCTGTAACTCTATTTATTTTTCGTGAACTCTTTTTGGTGTATATATCAAGTGAATATGCATACACGGAATGTGAGTGAACTGAACAATGAGAGTATCTTTGCCACACGCTTCTCGTTGCGTATCATTGTTTAACACGTTATGCCATGGAGAAAATGGGATCCATAATTTTTCAACAGGCAGAACAAGAGAAAAAATTAAGCATCTAAATATATATATATATACCGACGTAAAAAAGTTATAAACCAAAAAAGAAAACATAACGAGTGCAAGCAGAACAAGTCGTTTGTTAAGTCTCAATTTTACCTCTTTTTGGATGAGACTTATTGAACGAATTTCACTCATCCTCTGAACCATTGCAATATAATTGTTCTCTTTTTGGTTCTTTTTGTGTGCAGATATAACTAACCCAAATTTAGCTAACAATACCTTAATACACCTCATTTTTTGTGCAAGTATTGAGCTAGGGACTTGAGGATTGAAGATCTATAGGATTGGAAACTAAAGGAGCTAAGGAGCAAAGAAGAGGTTATGCGCCGGGCGCAAGGTGATCCGCGCCGGGCAAGCAAAACAGAGCATCTCACCTCTGGAAGCTATTGCGCCGGGCGCAATATGAATTGCGCCGGGCGTGTCCTGAAGACAGAGGGCAATTGGAAGGCCATGCGCCGGGCGCGAAGACTTATGCGCCGGGCGCATGAACCCTAATCTGTCTCCCCAAGCTCGTATTTGAAGGCATTTTCGGGGACTTCTCCCCCATTCTCACATTGGGCGCCTCCAGGAGCTGCGGAAGGGATTCCCAGGGCTTGGGATCGTCCGTGTGCGGATCTTTCCTTCGGTTCTTCACTTCCTCTTCCATCTCTATTTTG